CGGGGGACGTGCTTCCAGGCGGAAGGTGCTCTCCGCTGGCTGGGTGCCCGCCCCGGGCGCCTTCGGCCTCAGCCCCGTCCCCCCTCCATGCCGGCTGCAGCCCCACGGCGCCCGGGGGGCTGGCCCAGGGGCTCTGCTCCTTGCGCAGGGCAGCCCTCCCAGGCAGGCAGGGAGGCCGCTGGGGGGCTCGCTCCGCGCGCTCCTGGCCAGAGCCGGCCTGCAGGCTGCTGGCCGGGGAGGCTGGGAAGCCGCCCGCCACCCTTCGGCGAGCGCCACGCTGCAGCCGGACGAGGTGGCCCAGGAGCGCCCATGGCTCCCCGCCGGCCTGCGGTGCCCCCCACCCTCCTCTGCCCCGGGCGAGTCTCCCACGAACGGCCCGACGGGGATGGGGATGGGGACAAGGACGGGGATGGGGATGGGGACAAGGACGGGGATGGGGACTGGGCGGCCCACCCGCCCCAGCTGCCGCTTGCCTACAAGAAAGCCGCCGACGGGCCGGGCGAGTCTGGCAGCCCGTGCTGTGCATGGCACTGCATGCCCGTGCGCCCGCGGGGGCCGCACTGCACCCCTCGCGGCGAACGGCGGCCCCCGGGGACGGCAGCGAGGGCCTGCGCGCCCCCCTTTAGGGCAGGTGGCGGGACAGGGCTGTGGAGCCTGGCGTGCGGCACCCGAGTTGAGTGGCGGGACAGAGCCGTCCGTGGCGGGCAGCCCAGCTGCTTTTGGGGGGTTCGGAGGGCGGCGCTGAGGCTCGGGGGGTCATGCCGCCTCCCCCCACTGGGCCCCCTGCTGGGTTGGGGGTTCTCAGAGCCATGCCCCACCCCCGCAGGAGGGCCCCAGGGCGATGACCTTGCTTGGGGAAACCAGAGGAGGCTGCCCCCCCGCCCCCCGTTTTCCCGGCCGGGGCGGCACTGAAGAGGACGGAGGCCCAGAGGCCCGGCTCCCTTTCCAGCAGAGCATCGGAGCGGCACGAGGGGCTGCCCTCCTGCCCCACATGGGTGACGGTCGCCCTCCAAGAGGGCAGGGTGGGGCTCGGCAGCAGCTCCTAGTCAGACGGGCACCCCAAGGTTGATTGGGTGAGAAGTGCACTCCACCCCAGCAAAGCATTTTCAGGTCGTCAGAGCCTTCCAGAGCCACGCTGCTAGTCCTCATTGGCACCTAGGAAGCCTCTCCTCCCAGGGGCCTTCCCTGCTCCCAGCTGGTTTCCACCGCTTCACGGTCAACTTGCTTGCGCCAAGTGGAACCAATTCCCAGTGGTCCAAATCTGGCGAAAAACTGGACGGGTTGAGCTCTTCATCCGAGGGAAGGAATCAACACCCAGCACAGGATCTGGGCAGCAGCCGCTCCGGCTACTTGGAGAGTTGCCCCCAGGACCCCCCTGCAAAGCCAGGCACCGAGTGTCTTTGCTTGCCCGGCTGAGCCCCCCACCTTCTGCCGCCGCCTCAGCAGAATCCCGAGCGCGCCTGGCCAGCCCCTTACAAAATCACCAAAAGCGAGTGTGTTTTCTCAAGATCACGTTTATTTTGGTCACTGTAACTTTCCTTTTGAATAAATAATAGCTATACAAAAAAGTAAGTTGCACACACAGATTTTTTTTTTGCTGTATGAAAATTTTCAATTTTTTAAGGTTTTTATGTTAAGAAAATGATGGGAAAAGGTCTCGTTTCGTTTAAAGGAAAACATCTGGCAATTTGTTTAAACCAATGATTTTAGGCAGGGAGAAACAAAAACCATGACCTTACTGAGGTAGGTTTTAGATTCTCAAGCTTTTTCGTCTTTCATTAGCACCACAATTCTGTAGAAAGCTTTTGAACTACAAAGTTTTTGGTGGCCTGGCACAAAAGGTGAGGAGATGAGAAGCTGGGAATCCAAGCTTTCGATCGCGTCCCCCCCACGCAAAATAATACCTGACTTGGGCTCTGGATTCAAGAGCTAAGCTGGACAACTGAGCTACGAAATGAAGTCACAAGAAGTGGGAGAAGGGAAGATACTGAGACAGAGAGAAAAGCGCCAGTAAACACGAAAGATTTCATTTTGCCTCCAAAAGTGACATTTATTCAAAAGGCAAGAAAACTCAAAAATAGAACAGGGCAGGGAATTCTGTGCCCAGGGAGAGGCTGTTACAGGCACGGCGGGCCCCCGGCGAGGCGGCTCAGATGAGGTCGGCCACGTTGAGCGGCATCTCCTCGATGGAGGTGTTGTAGAAAGTCTCAATGTCGCGCAGCGTGCGCTTGTCCTCTTCCGTCACCATGTTGATCGCGACTCCTTTCCGTCCAAAGCGGCCACCTCGACCGATCCTGCGGGGGGGGGGGGGGGCAAAGGGTCAGCGGGGAAGCGGACAGCGAGGGGGAGCGCGGGAGCTTCCGGAGAGCCCCTCCGAGAGGTGTGCTCACCTGTGGATGTAGTTCTCACGGTTGGTGGGCAGGTCGTAGTTGATGACCAGGGACACCTGCTGCACATCAATTCCACGAGCCTGGGGGGAGAGGACAGGGCAGCTGCGGCACCCGGCTCGAGCGCGGCGGGTGGGTGGGCGAGGGGGGCCCTCCGGCAGGGCAGCCGCTCGAGCGGCCGGGGAGTTGTGGGCTGCGACAAGTAGCAGGGAACTCGCACGGTTCCTGCTGTGGAGAAGAGCAGCCGGCCCCGTTACTGTGCCAAGGAGCTACAATCTGCCCAGAGCACGGCGCCAGCTGGGCAGAGAGGGAATCTCCTTGCGGGTGGGCGGGTGGGCGGAGGAGCAGGGCCCCCACTCACCAGCAAGTCCGTTGTGATCAGGACGCGGCTGGAGCCGGAGCGGAACTCCCGCATGATGACGTCGCGCTCCTTCTGGTCCATGTCTCCATGCTGCGGGGACACGGGGGGCTCGTTGGGACGGCACTCGTGGCTCCCCCGGGAACGCCACCCCCCCCCCACTGGCGCAGGACGGACGAGCTCAGCCCAAGGCCCTCCCCGCCAACCTGGGCCCAGGCGGGGCGGAGGAACAGCTGAAGGAAGCCCGGGGTCTCCAGTCACACGTTTTTCCCGGAGACAGCAGTGCCCAAGCGGGCCAGATGCTGCCCAGTGGGCGCAGCCCGGCCCGGCCCGGCCCCCTCCGCTCCCCTGCACATGACTTCCACGGCGGAGGGCAGACTGGGCACCGGGCCCTCCCAGACAGCCCCCGCGCCGGCCACCCACCATGGCGGAGACGGTGAAGTCCCGGGCATGCATCTTCTCTGTGAGCCAGTCCACCTTCCTCCGGGTGTTGATGAAGATCACCGCCTGGGTGATGGTGAGGGTCTCGTACAGATCGCACAGGGTGTCCAGCTTCCACTCCTACGAGGAGACAGGAGGGGCCGAGCTTGAAGCCCAGCGAGGCGGAGACCCCGCCTCTCCAAACCAACGGCCCCGGGGCCAGCCGATGCCCAGCGCCGCAGTCCGACGCCTGCGTCCCGGGGGCACAGGAACACCGGGGGCGGTGTGCCTTTTCCCAACTGGCTTCCAGCCGCTGGATGCAACTCGGGACTGCTTCCCAAGCTTCTGCAGGACCCCCCCACGAGTAGAGGAGGAGCAGAGGTTCCGTGAGGCCGGGTGCCGGCCCCGGTGAGGCGCAAGGCCTCTGCCCGCTGCAGGAGAGCCGCTGGCGGCACGTACCTCCCGCTCCACGTTGATGTAGAACTGCCGGATGCCCTCCAGGGTCAGCTCCTCCTTCTTGACCAGGATGCGGATGGGGTCCCGCATGAACTTCTTGGTCACTTCCAGGACGTCCATGGGCATCGTGGCAGACAGGAGCACCACCTGGGGGGGGGAAGGACAATTCTGACCCCAGGCCCTCATCCCCAAAGCCCCGTTCCGGATGCGAGCCCCGGCGCCTCTTCGGCTCCACCAGGACCGCAGGAGAGCCAAGGCCCTCCCACCCAGCGACTGCCTCTTACCTGCGTGTTCCCACTCAGCTTCTGGAAAATGTCATAGATCTGGTCCTTGAAACCCCGGCTCAGCATTTCGTCGGCTTCGTCGAGCACAAACATCTTGATAAACTTGGGTGCTGCAAAGGCAGAAGGCGGCGCTGTGCTGGGAGGAAAATGGCGGCGCGGCCCTTGCGGGACAGCCCCGTCGCTGTCCTCAGGAAAGCAGGCGGCTGTGATCACTCCCCCCGAGCCCAGCCGCCCCCCGGTGCAGTAGAACACCGGCCGGGAGGCACGCCGGCGGTGCAGGGGTCAGATGACACGCATGGGAGCCTCATCACGGGACAGTGCCAGCACGGCCGCGCACTCGCCCAGCCTCCCTGGCGGAGCTCGCGCAAGAGCCCGTTCCCCCCCCCCCACAGCGCCCGGAGATGCGCGGAATGCCGCCCTCCCGCAGCGGCACTCACACAGGTATCTCCTGTTCAGCATGTCGAACACCCGCCCGGGGGTGCCAACTATGATATGGGGGGCCTCCATCTGCAGCTTCTGAACTTCGGCCCGGACGTTCGTCCCTCCTATACAGGCGTGGCACGAGGCGCCCATGTAGTCTCCCAGGGCCATCACCACCTTCTGGATCTGTGGGGAGAGGGGGGGAGTCAACGGGGCCGAGCGAGGCCTGCACACCACCTGCGTCAACGCTGGGGGGGGGGGCGGACTCTCCACCCCAAGAGCCCAGGTGGCCACAAGGCAGCACAGTCCTCAGGCCGCCCCAAGCACAGGTGGCCACACTTGTTCTCCCGGGATGAACCGGCGAGCGGCCACTGGGAGGAATGCCGTGCTGGGATGAACTGGGACGGCTGGTGTTCCCCTGCTAGATACAGGAATGCCCCTGGCCCAGACAGCAAGGGCTGGGGGGCCAAAGGGGACGGGAGAGCCCCGCTCAGCCAACACAAGGCACGTGGCAAGATGCAGCTGGAGCAGCGCAAGTTCCTCCCGTCTCCAGCGACATTCCGTCCGGAAGCACTCCTGACATTTTGAATGACAACTCCCAGGATCTCTGAGCGCTGGCTGTGATGGTTGGGGGAGATGGGAGTTGAAATCCAAAACAACAGGGGGTGGGGGGGAAGATGCTCTTTGGCATAGCACTTGGGCAAGAGCAAGGAGAGCCTTGTCAGATTGACAGTGTCCAACGCCAGCAGAACGGATGCAGCCCATGGCCAAAAGCGGGAGCCAGCCTCTTTCTGACCCACGCGAAGAGATCAGGCGTGGCCTGTCACCGCTGCAGAAGACGCTCACAGGCCTGGGCCCACCCGGCACACTGGCTTTATTTGGCTGGCAAGGAGCGGCTCACGGTGGGCAACAGAGAATCCGGGCCAAGCCTTCTTGCCCTTTGCATGAGGAACGCCGAACAGAGCCGCCGCGCGGGACCTACCTGCTGGGCCAGCTCTCTCGTTGGGGCCAGCACCAAGGCCTGGGTCGCCTTCAGGTCCAGCTCAATTTGTTGCAAGATGGAGATGGCAAAAGTGGCTGTTTTCCCAGTTCCAGACTGGGCTTGGGCAATCACATCGTAACCTGGGCAGGCAGAAAGGGGGACGGGGTCAGAACCTGGGGGGTCGCACAAGGCCCCAGAAAGAAGAGCAGGAATCAACGGGTGGCAGAGCAAGTGCGCCCAAGACTCCTTCAGCGGCACAGAGGAGGCCTGTTCCCTCCGCATGAACCAACAAGCAGCCACGGAAGAGAGGCTGAGCTGGGATGAATGAGGACAATTCCTGTTCCCCCGCTAGATTTAAGTCAGCAACCACTCGAGAAGGTGCTTCCTTGCCCAGTAGCGAGGGGTGGTGAGACTGGGAGCTCGGGAGGAGCAGAACATTTCTGGTGCGCCTGGCGCATGTGGCATCTGCCTGGGGGAGGGAAGAACCCAGCAGCCACCTGGAGCTGGACGGCTCTCTGGCAGCATGACGAAGGGCCAGGAAAAAGCACCACACCCTTCCGTTGCCGAGACCCGTGGAATGGCTGTCGGAACAGACCGGCCTCCTCAGGGAATGCCCCCGAGACGTGCCAAACCAACTCCATCCCTCTTCGGCTTATGAACTGCTACGCAGGAATTTCGTTTAGATATAAAGTGCTATGTGTATTTTGCAAATTAAATAAGCATACTGGCTCAGGATGACGGGAGCTGCAGTACAACACTTTTGGAAGACACTTGATTGGTGAAGACTGCAACTAGTAAGGCTGAGCTTAGTGAGAGCCAGCAGATCGGCCCTGAAAAAGCATCATTGGTTGTTAATTACCTTGTACTGGGGGAAAGGGGTTCAGATCCCGGCTCAGCAAGGAAGCAGCCCAGACACTAAACCTTCAGGGCAGTACACGTATCTGCCCCAGGCCCTTCCCTGGCCGCCAGCTGTTTGCAGCCAGGTAACCTCCCACTTTACCGGTCTCCTTTTGCAAAAGGGAAGTTTTCCAGTCTACAGTGCCTATCATTCCCCCCCATGCTGCCTGGGGATGACAGGAGCTGTACTTCACCGGGTTCCTCTTAAAAAGTGCCTGCGCACACTCGGTCAACCTCACCCTTGATACAAGGGAGAATGGCTCGCTGTTGGATGGCAGAGGGCTTCTCAAACCCGTACGCATAGATGCCTCGCAGGAGGGACTCCGATAAGTTCATGTCATCGAAGCTGTCAACAATTTCATTCCAGTTGCTCTGCAGGGAAAGACAGGCAGTGAGCCCCCACGGCTGCCCATCTCCGCCCTGAGCGCCTGTGAAGGAGCCCCGCAGCTCCCCCACTAGGCTCCCCGGGCCATCTGCAGGCTGCCATGCACGTCCTGGGGAAAGCGAACATCGGAAATCAACAGGGAAGCAGCTGTCCTTTCCTGGGCATGCACATCTCCGGGAGAGGAGCTCCCAGCCCGGTGAGTCGCCCCCTGCAAAGCCCTCACCGTGTCCCCGAGAGCCCACCCAGGCTGCTCAACCCACTGGTACTGCAGGACCCTTCTGGCCCAGAACCTCCCTCCCCACCTCCTCGAACTCCCCACCCTTCCAACACCCCCACCGAGGGCCCTGCCACCACGCTCACCTCAATGACGCCATCGGGGTCCATCCCATCGGGGCCATTATCTCTGGGTCTAGGGAGAAAGAAGCAGCGTCACGAAGAGGAGCAGGCAAGGAGAGCCCACGGGGCGCTTGGCCACCCCCTCCCTCCCTCCCTCCCTCCCTCGGCAGGGCCACTGCCCGCTCTGGGAGCCGCAACCCGAGCCATCGAGAGCACCAGGCCGGGGGCGCCCCAGAAAAGCCGGGGCAGCGGAGAGAGGGGGCCACCCGCCGAGGAAGCGGGGGCCCCGACCCTGCGAGGCCGCCCGCCCGCGGATCGCGAGGCCCGGACGCCGCCCGGCGCCCCGCCGGCCTCCCACGTGCTCCCCTCGCCGCTTCCGCCTCTCCTTTTACGGGCGCGAGGCTCCTCCCCCTCCCGCGCCTCGGCCTCGGGCCGGTGACGTCACGGGCCCAGAGTTCCCGGATGCGAAGCAGCAGGACAATGGGCAAGAAGGAAAATGGACGCGCCCGCCGCGGGGGGGGGGCAGCGGCCCCCGCTCTGGAAATGGACGCGTCCGCGCCGAGCCTGCGGGCGCCCGGGGCGGCCTCGCCCTGCGGCGCCCCTCGCGCGGGACATACCAACGGCGGGGCGGGGCGGGGGAGGCGAATCGGGGCAGGCCGCGCAGGAGCCGGGGAGCGTGCGGAAGAGAAAGGACCCAAAATGGCTGCCCCGCGGAAAGGGGGAGGAGGAAGGGCCGCCCTTCCGCCCCCGAGGAGCGGCGCCCCGGCCCGGAGCCCGTCCCCTCCCGCCCCGGAGAGGGCGATCCCGCCCGCCGCAGCGCGGGGAAGGGTGGGCGCGAGGCGAGCAGGCGGCGGGAAAAGGGCGAGGCAGCGCCATTGCGGGCGGGCGCCTCCCCCCGCAATGGCGTCACTGCTCCGGACGGAGCTCGCCCTGCTGGGCCGCCGGTCCGGAGGGCGCTCGGCCCTCGCGGCCTTCGGCGGCGGCGCGCTTCCTCCCCGAAAGGAAGCCGGGCCCGGCCGTGAGCCACGGGAGCGCGAGGCCGAGCGCAGCCGGGGCGAGGGAAGCGTCGGCCACGTGGAAGGGCCGGCGGGGAGCGGCGGCAGCGCTGGCACGCCGCGGGGAAGCCCGGGCGCGCGGGCGGGCGCCGCCTGGCAGGGAGCGGCCGGCGCTCGAGGCGCCCCCGTGCGCGGGCGCCGAGTTGTTCGGTCCGGGCGGGCGGGGGCCTGGCCGGGCGGGCGGCATCCTGGCTCGCTCACTCGCGCGCACTCACCGGCTCTCTTGACTCGCAGACATTCTGAGGAAAAGGTCTTGGCCCCGCCCGCTCCGCGCCACCTTATAACCGCCGCGCGGGCCCCGCCCACTGGCCCCTCCTTCATTGGCCTCCTCGCATCGGCCCGCCCGCCCGGCGCGCCGCCGCCATTGGCCTGCCCGATCGGATCGGCCCGACCGGCTTCGTTCCCATTGGCTCGCCCCCGG